CTGCTCCCTCATGCCGAGCGCGCCGCATACCCTGCGGACCGCCTCCTGCTGCACCTCGTCCGGCGTATCGGTTTCATAGCCGGACGAGTCAGCGGAGGCGGCCCGCTTGGCGGGCGGAGAGTCGGGCGACGGCGAGCGCGACTGGCGCGAGGGCCCGCTGCCGCGCGCGGACAGCGCGTTCTTGTCAACGAGACGGGGTCCAGCATCGGCACGGCCCCTGGCACCGCGGCCCTTGCCGCGCTGCTGCTGCCCACGCTTCCTGCCCGGGTTAGGGACAGTGAAGGAGCAGCCGCGCACTCCGCCGCCGCCGCGGGCGGCGGCGGCACGCTCGCGGCGGCGGCCGGGCCCGCAGGCGCGGCGGGCTGGCCACCCGCGGTGGCACCCTGCGGCTGCGATGCGGCTGCGGCGGCGTACGTCTTGGGCGCCGGCTCCGCGGCTGGCGGCGCGGCGGCAGGGGCGGGCGGCGCCGCAGGGCTCGCGCTCGCAGGCGCCTCCGTGGCCTGCGCCTGCCGCTCGTGGCGCACCGCGCGCTCGAGCTGCGAGTGCGGGTGCAGCTGTACGATGACGTCGCCGCTCTGCGTCGCGGTGAAGGAGACCGAGTACGGCGCTTCGTACAGCTGTCGTTGGTGGTCAGTGAAGATGGTCTCTGTGCAGCGCTCGGCGGAGCCGACGCGAGAGAAGTGCCGCCTGAACGCCATGCGTTCAGGCGCTGTTTGAATCACGGGCCTAATAGCAGTAGCAGCCCGCGCCCGCGTTTCTTTCCGTGCGTCGTAAGAATTCTTTCCGTGCACGAGCGGCTTCCCGCGAAGAGGCAGAAGGGCCTCGTCAAAGGAGTGGCGCGGAACAGCTTGAAGCACAATGCTCCTCGCCGTGCTCGCGCTGGTCGCTCACTCGGCGCCTACCGCGTTTGTCTCAAACGGCGGTGTGCTATACCGCGAGCGCTTCCTCTCGCCGGCCGACTTTGAGGCTATCCGGCGTGAGTGCCGCACCCTGCGAGGCGGCATGCGCGCAGAGAAGGACTCGATTGCGCTGCGGCGGATGGGCCTGTGTCTCGACCGCCGATCCCACACACACGCGATGCTGATGAGCGAAGCGGTTGCGAGCCGGATCGCCGCGCTCACCGGCGTGCCGCGGCTCGAGCCGTCCGACTTTCCGGCAGAGTTGCGGCAGTATGGTGCCGGCGCCAGCATGGGTTGGCACCGCGACGACGCGCTCTACAGCCCGCCGCAGACAGAGGTGATCCTGACGCTCGGCAGCGCCGACCCGCCGCCGCCGGATGAGCATACCACTCGGCAACTCGTCAAGCGGTGGACGGCGCAAGAGGAGAGGCCAGGCTACGCGCCTCCGTCACAGAACTGGCCTCCCCCCAGTCGCTCTGACCTCGCCACGCTGCGCCGCGCCTTCACCGCGTGCGGTGCTGAAAGCTTTGATCCCGGACACCACGCTGCGCCACCCACATCAGGCCGCCTGTGTGAGCCGTGCTCTCACCACCTCCATCGCCTCTGCCTGCGGCATGCAGCGCCACCACCTGCGAGGGACGCGCCGGGCGAGGAGGCAACCCGAAGTGGCTGGTCAGTGCCCTCTCGCGGCTTGTCGAGGTGGCTCGAATCGTCGCCCGTCCGCGAGGCCATGGCGAGCAGGCAGGGCAGGGGCGCCTCGGAAAAACCGCGAAGGGCCTTCGCAGAGGGTAGCACAAGAAATCTGGGGTGACACATATGCTGATTTCTTCCTGATTTCGCTCGAGACACGGCTGACTGCTTCACCGAGTGGGTCTGCGCTGACGGCGGCCGCGACTCGGCGTGGACGACGCCGAACTCGGTGCTGCTCGTACGTGCCGGCGAGGGAGGCCCCTCGCACCGCGTCACGCCGGTGAAGCGCGGCGAGCGCACCATCGTCAAGCTCGTCTTCCACGAGCCCGACGCGGAGCGGTCTGCCTCCTTTTACGACCACATCAACTCCTTCCCAGGCGCGCAGAGATCGGTGGCGGAGCGAGCGCGCGCGCTGGCGGAGCGAGGCGGCCCGGGCAGTGGTGGTAAGGCGAGCCGGGCAGCGAGACGGAGGAGCTAGCGTGCAAAAGTACTACACGTACACGTATTAGGGCTATAGGGGTACAGACTCTGGCTAGCAGGGTGAGGGACCTCTCTACGCTCTAGAGGGCGTCGCCGTGGGCGCGCGCCATCCTCGCGAGGGTCAGGCCGAGCCCGCCGGGCCAGCTGAGGCTGTGTGTCCGTCCACTGTGGACCCAGTGATGGCCT